ATTGAACTCCAATGGTCACTGCTTCTCATTAGAACTTCAGGAAATAACTCTTGAAAACAGTTGCTAGTGAGCATATGATGATTATAATCAGAGAGGGGTTTTGTGGAGATTTCGATGAGATTATAACTCACATAAGAAAACGGTGGACGATGGCACAATTTCGTTGATTGGTTAAAGTGAGACATCAACACTGTTGGTTGCCGGCCAGCTCAGTGATCTAGAGATTAAGTGTTCGCGCGCGAAACTGATAAATCTAGGGTTCGAATCTCGCGGAGTGAGATGGTGGATGCGCATTGCTTAGGAGTCACACAAAACGGCCGTCCAATGCTTTCAAGTTTACTTTGGTGATCTAACTTTAATTGAATAATGATCTCAACAATTGAAATTACTACAATCTCCACAACCCCTGCCCCTCTCTGATTATAAAACGGTATGTATAAACTGGAAGGAGCTGGAAAGGATTGCCCAGGACAGGGTTGGATGGCGAACGCTGATGAACGGCCTATGTTCCTTCACGAGGAGTAACAGGCGTAAGTAAGTAAGTAATGTATAAATGAAAGATATTTCACAATAGAACTGATAAAACCTGTTAAAACTTAGTAATTTATGTTAATTTCCCATTGTTTTCCATTTTATATATTGAACTTTAGAAATAGAAGTTTGTTTATCTTTATTTGTTGATTGGATTTTTCAGACAAAAACAATACAAACCAGTTAACTATACTTATTTAAGTAGAATAAATTGTGTTTGTATCACATTAAGATGAGCTATAAATTTACTTATATTACATATACTTACACTAACTAAGAGAGTAGAAAGAGGATATGTTTACTAATCCACTTAATATTGTTTGCTTATTGTTTAGAACTGCAATTGATCAATCTCTTGTTGGCATATGTGCATGATATGCGAACTATCTTGATATTTTCTTAAGACACAAACATTAAAAGCAAAAATTGATTGTGAATAACAGTGGAATGTACATATGTCGATAAGAGACTGATCAATTGTAGTCCTTAACATCAATAGGAAGATTCAAACAAACAATGCAAAACGGATTTACACTTCACCTCATTGCACAAGCAAGTAGCTATTGGAACTTAGTAGTTAAGTGGATAACGTGATGGTGTTTGAAATAGATGATAATGTGGTGAGTTCGAGTCTAGGAGTGAACATCAACTGTGGGATATTGGTACATTCTTCTGACGAGTCCCAAATAGGACGAAACACGCGTCAAACTCGACTCCACTACTAGTCACTGTTCATCTTTGCTTAAACAACTTAAGACTATACCGAGGTAACCTGCACAGGATGCACATATGCCATTAAGTGACTGAACAATCGCAGTCCTAAATAACAATGGGAAGATATAATTAACAACACCAAGTGAATAATAAAATTTGTTCATTATTTAGTTCAATTTTCATGTTCATTAGTTGCAATAAAACATTGTGTATACATCATAATTAATGAATGATCTTCGACTAATGCCAAAATAGTATAAAGACAAATAACCTACTTAATAGAACCAGTAGTAGGTTATTAATTAGTAGGAGGAATAAGGATTAAAAGCACATGATATATGATCACAGTTGAATTCATGAGTCAATCTAAGCTAGACCACCATTGAAAATCTAAAACACATTAACACCGTTGAATGCCGGCTCAGTTCTACATGTTAAGCGTTCGCATGTGAGACCGAAAGTCCTGTGTTTAAGTCTCTTGTGCTGGGTCGTAGATGTGAACTTTTGAGGAATTCCATAATAGTATGAAACGACCTACCAGTGCTTCCAGGTTTTCAATGAATTATGATATTGTCGGAATGAGGATTTGTGGAGTCCCATAGTAGGACGAAACGACCGTCTAATGCTTCCATTTTTTCAATAATGGCATTGCTTACATTGACTAATGAATTCAACTGTTAAAGTTATGATACTAATTTTTTTTAAACCATTTGTCTGGGAAGAGTAAAAAATCATTTAACTTAGTGTTATGTCTTGTTATTAGGGCTCCGTACGACCTACGATGTTACACATTTAGGCACGAAAACGATTGAAAGTCTATAATACTATCATCTCTCTTGGGAACTGACAATAGTCAATTATACTCGACACATAAAACCTCGACGGCCAAGACAGGAAGAAGATGGAATTACAGGTAACTTGATATAAGTAGTAGAACGAGCAACTCAAACGAAATTAATACAAAAGTCGTTACTATATTAGCAGGATATAACCTTCGAGCATGTGGCAATTTAGTGAAATAAAAAAAACGACAACCAATCGGAGGGCAAAGGTCATGCGATCATGAGGCTATCGTTTCAGAAAAGATCTTAGCCTTCCTAACAAAACCTGACTATTCTGGGGATCACCTTAGCACTCAGTGAATGCATCAATGCTATTCATATAATCTTCCTGTGCTATAAATATTCGCAAACCTGTCAGTTAGTCAACAACAACGTGGAACGTCATGCGTACGTACATCAGTTCGAGTTGACAC